GTGTGTGTGTGTGTGTGTGTGTATGTGTGTGTGTGTCTGATGTGGTGTATGCTGTATGCAGTGTGTGTGTTATATGGTGTATGTTGTATGTGGTGTGTGTGATGTTTGTGTGTAGGGCGTGTGTGTGTGTAGGGCGTGTATGTGTGTGTGTGTGTGTATGTGTGTGTGTATGGTGTGTGCTATAGTATGTTATTTGTGTAGGTGCATGCGCACATGAAGGCCGGAGATTGATATTAAGTGTCTTCCTCGGTTGCTTTCCTGTTTTTGAGAAGGGATCCCTCAGCTGTTCGGCTAGGCCGGCTGACCAAGGAGCCCAGGCCCCTCCTGTTTCTCTTCCCGAGCACTGAGGTTCCACACACATGTCACAACTGTCTTTTCACATGGGTACTGACTCCTCCTGCTTCTGTGGCAGGTACCTGACCAGCTGGGCCTTCTCTCTAGCCCATGCCTCAACTTTAACACACACACTTTGGACAAGATGGTGTGCAATCAGGATGGAATGGTGGTCACACTCCATCCTCATTACAGCAACCCAGGTTCATTTCTCAAACCCACCAGAGGTGGTTCTCACAGCCATCTTCCCTTGGTTTTTACAAACCTCCTGGATACCAAACCCAGAGGGAAGGGAAGTGCTAGATCCTACCACATTTTTAAAAAAATTGACCTGGCCCGGGCAGCGGTGGCTCACGCCCTTAATCCCAGCACTCGGGAGGGGGAGCCAGGTGGACCTCCGTGTGTTCGAGGCCAGCCTGGTCTATAAAGCGAGATCCAGAACAGGCATCAAAACTACATGGAGAAACCTTGTCTCAAAAAAACAAAAGCACAAACAAACAAAAAGAAAATCAACCTGGAACTCACGATGTAGACCAGGCTAGTCTTGAACTCACAAAGATCCACCTGCCTCTGTCTCCCTAGTGCTGGGATTAGAGGTGTGCACCACCATGCCTGTAGGAGTTTCCTCAAGAATAAGTTTGGCCTGTGTTAGAACACTACAAAATTAAGACATTATTCTTTCAAATAGATCTAAAAAAATTGCTAAGACTCTAAAACATGTCTAGCAGACTATAATTGTGATTTCTTTGAGATCTTGCATGTAATTTAAATAAGGCAAGTAAGACTTTTAAATTGAACTCTATAATTAAATACTTATCTAAAATAGTTCACATCTCATTTCTTGGGCCTCCTCAGCCTTGCATAAAATACCTTATTGGACTTATGATGGATATTTCAATATCAACCTAAAATGTGCTGGGTAGCACATAACTTTGAAATGTCTCCCAGCAAGCGAGTAGCCTGCAGACCTCGCTGCAATGGTCGCACGTGGGTGGCCAGCAGAGTGGAGTCTGGGAACAGAGCACGTCAGGCCCTGCCTACATCTGCTGAGTCAGAATCTGCAATTTAAAAACCGAACAGGGGATCCCTAACCACGGACTTTCCGGGACAGCCTCTCCATTGTGAGTTCTTGCTAAGCGTCTTCATCTCCCCAAGTCTAATTTCCCGTTGGCAGATGAAAGTTCTAATACCATCCTCAGTGCGTACATGAAGCATTTGGCCAGAGCAAAGGCCCGGGGAACAATGGCTATTATTATTATTATTTAATGAATTCAAGGCACTGTGCCAACCCCCCACATGGCCCCTGACTGCTACTTCTTGCCAAGAAAGGCAGACAAAGCCCTCGCCAGTGCCAGACAGCAGGGCTTCTGAGCTGCCAGTCATGGCTGGGGTTTCCACAGGTCCAGGCAGCCCATCTGGCTGGAGCAGCCACAGCCCATGCTGGGACTTCCTCTACCTCAAATGAGATGACGAGGGTCTGGCTCTGCTCCGAGGCATAATCCTGTTCCTTAGCAGCACATAAAATGAAGATTCAAATAATTCCTTTATAATTTTCTGTCTTTGTGTATCTGTGATGTGTGTATGATGGGTGTGTATGTGATATATGCATGATAGGTGTATATATGATGTGTGCATGATGGGTGTGTATGTGATGCATGTATGAAGGGTATGTATAATGGATGTGCAGGATGGGTGTGTATATGATGGATGTGTATATGATGTGTGCATGATGGGTATGTATGTGATGCATGTATGAAGGGTATGTATAATGGATGTGCAGGATGGGTGTGTATGTGATGTGTGCATGATGGATACAGGATGGGTGTGGATATAAATGCGTGCATGAAGGATATATGTAATGGATGTGCAGGAGGGTATGTAGGATGTCTATCTGCACATGAATGTGAGTACATGTGAGTACAGGCACTTGCATGGACACCTTTGGAGGTCAGAGAACAACCATCTACTTTGTTTGAGATGTGGTCTCTTGTTTCTCCACTGTGTCTATCAGGTGTCCTGCTGGTTTCTAGGGACCCCTTTGTCTTCACCCCCATCTTGCCGTAGGACACAGTGCTAGAGTCTGGCTTTATGTGGGTTCTGAAGACTTTACCTACTGCCATCTCCCTGGTCCTGTAATTTTTTTATTATAAAAAATTTTTTTGATAAAAACTATTTTTTATTAAAGTTATAAAAACTTTTTTATTAAAAAGAGTCATTTAAAATGACTCTTTTTAATAAAAAGAAAAGAAACCTACAGGTTTCATTTATTCCAATAAAGAGGCGCTTCTGCAAAAAAGTAAAACCCAGCAGCCTCATTCTCAGAATCCTCTACTGGAGGACACCTCTCTGGCGTTCAGGCAGATCGATCTTTAAGTCACTCTTTGCCCAAGTGTTAACGTGAGACATGCATTTTCCTAGGAATCATTAATCCAAAGCTGTGTCCGGAGTCTGGCAGAGTCAAAGGCTGATGTCTGCCTTCTATCAGCTCGGCACTGATTGACAGAGCCATGAAGAAACGTATCAGTGTCTGCATTTATATTTAACTGACTCTGGAGTTTCAAAGAGGCACGCTGACCTCTGACCCTAGACCCAGCCTGGGATAGGGAAGACTCGGGAATGTCTGGCTGGGCAAGTACCTTCAAGGTTTCCTCGAAAGTCGGGTCCAGAGTGTTCTTCTGGACTTGCGTCTTGCGTTTTCCCTGGGAGGACTTGTCCGGCAGCAGGTAGGTCTTGACATACCTAGTGGGCAGAGGCAGAAGAACAAGGAAAGAACTCAACATGGGGTGAACAGAGCTCAGAGCAGTACAGTCCAGCTTCCCTGCTGGAGCATGAGTTGACAGGCAAGATTTGCATTCTGACGTGTGTGTGTGTGTGTGTGTGTGTGTGTGTGTGTGTGTGTGTGTGTGTGCAAACATGTACATGTATGCACCTTCACTTGGAGGCCAAAGGCTGATGTTTGATGTCTTCTTTAATTGCCCTCAACATTATTATTATTATTATTATTATTATTATTATTATTATTATTATTATTAACAACACACAGTCTTCCGTTGAACCTGGAGCTCCTCAGTTAGCCTAGGCTGTCTGGTCTGCAAGCCCCAGGGCTCCTCCCTTCTCTACTTCTGCATCACTGAGACGACTGATATGCAGTACCATGCACAGTTTTTTACGTAGATGTTGTTGGGATCCAAACTCACACTTGAAGAGCAAACACTTTACCGACCGAGACATCCCCCTGTAGCCCACAACTTGAGCAATCAGTGCCGTGTGAGTAACTCCTGACTCGCACAGCTTTGGCCGAGTGTTGAGTATGTAACCCTGCTGAATGTTCCTAAGACTGCGGGTAACCTTGACCTCGCTCCCCCCTGCTTCTAGAACCTGTCCCCATTCCTCATCTCCCATTTGATGATGACGGGAACAAGATGTTCCAAGTACATGCCAGGCCCCCTCTTTCCACCTCCACCCATTGCTACCCTGGGCCCTCAGAACTAAGGAAGAAAATAGAAACTGACTCACACTTAGCTTTTGGCTCAGAGACCTCAAAGACTATACTCTTTCCAACAAAAGATCCTGCCTTTGAACCCATGTAAGGAGAACTGCTCATCTACATCCTTCTATAACTCACTTTTCCCCTCATTAACACCCACTTGAGATTCATCCCCCTGCATATGGCACTTTGATTCCTCCATTTTCCTCTGTCACTGTACTGGATTAATTATTACAATTCATTAGCCCCGAAAGATTCCTTACTTCTTAGTTTCTGCTATTATAGTCTACGGTCCTGATATATGCTTGCAGTGGTCACAAACCAGAAATGACAGCGTATATGCTAACTGCATCCCCAGAATGTATGCATGCTGTCAACTTTATAGATCAGGCCAATCCAATCTCTTTAAAATAAAAGGGGCTATTTGGAAGCCTGGCTTGGTGGCTCATGCCTTTAACCCCAGCACTTGGGAGGCAGAGGCAGGCATTTCTCTGTGAATTCAAGACCAGCCTGGTCTACAGAGCGAGTTCCAGGACAGCCAACAACAATTAAAAGAAATAATTTAGTCTTTCTCTAGCACTTTATGGTTAAGTTTTAAATAACTAATTTTCAGTCTTTCTTCTTTGTATACATAAACATTGCTTTGACTAAATTTTGAAATGTGAGAGTCAGGGGGTGTTTTGGGAACCAGGATTATTCCAGATCCCTGGGGCTATGGTGTCATCAGAGGAACAGAAGCTGAGACCAGACAATAAGAGGATCTTTATGGAAAATTGTAATTGCTATAAAAACCTGTATTTTGATGGGGTAGGCAGAACTGAGGAGCTACTGAAGGCTTTAGAGTAGAGAAGAGTTTGATTAGCTCATCAATCCATTGCTTTTTTTACCTTCACTTGTGAGAGTTAGTAATTGAAACAGTTTAGAGGGGAAAAGGCCTTGCCTTAAGCCATACCAGAAAACCAATTCTTCTATTTCTAATATGAGGTGAACTAAGGTGAATATATATGATGTTCATATATATGTCACACACACACACACACACACACACACACACACACACACACACATGAAGAGAATAGAAATATGTTCATGTGTACATAATTTCCAAGTGGCATGGGAATTCTATACACACAAAAAAGCAGATTTTTAAGAAACTGTTGTTTCTAGAGAGATTTTGTTTGTTTGTTTGTTTATTTATTTGAAATAGGATCTTGTACATAGTCCAGACCGTCCCAGAAGCCACTCTTGTAGCCTAGGCTGGCCTGGACTCAGAAGGCCTCCTGTCTTAGTCTCCCACATATATATTTTGCTTTTTTTTTTTTTTAGTTTTCTTTCTGTCTTTTCCTTGTAGCGCTGGCAATCACAATCACATCAGGGGCTTGCACACTCAAAGCCCATGCTCTGCTTGAGTTCTGTCCTCAGAAGCAGGGCCTTAAAAGGAAAGGCTTGGAGCGGTCTGTGGTGGTGCACACCTTTAATCCCAGCACTCAAGAGGCAGATCCAGGAAGATCTCTATGAGTTCGAGGCCAACCTGGTCTACAGAGAGAGATCCAGGACAGGCACCAAAACTACACAGAGAAACCCTGTCTTGGGGGGGGGGGGAGGAAAGGCTTGGAAAATTTATCACATCAAATTTTCCCCAAGAAAAGGCATCACAAATAACCCCAAAAAGAAGCAATAACTAGAATAAGTGATGTAAAAAAAAAAATACATAACAGATGCAGAACTTTCAAACCCTATTTTAAACAGGGGATTCAGTTCTGGTGATATTGTGTTCCCCAAAATATTATGTACTCTAATAAACTTATCTGGGGTCAGAGAACAGAAAAGCCACTAGATACTTAGGCTAGAAAATGTTGGCACTCATGCCTTTAATCCTAGCATTCCAGAGGCAGAAATCCATGTGTTCAAGGATACAGCCAAGCATGGTGACACACGCCTTTAATCCCAGGGAGTGAGGCAGAAAGCAGAAAGATATATAAGGCGTAAGGACCAGAAACTAGAAGCATTTGGCTGGTTAAGCTTTTAGGTTTTGAGCAGCAGTTCAGCTGAGAGCCATTGGGATGAGGACACAGAGGCTTCCAGTCTGAGGAAACAAGACCAGCTGAGAAGTTGGCCAGGTATGGTTAGCTGTGGCTTGTTCTGTCTCTCTGATCTTCCAGTGTTCACCCCAATACCTGGCCTGGATTTGTTTTATTAATAAAGACTCTTTAAGATTCCTGCTACATCCAGTCTATTTTAAATGTGGTTCTAAACCATTTCCCTGTGGCCAAGGCACAGCTCAGCAGTGGAGCTTGTGTCTGGCATGCACAGGGCTGAGGCCCTAATCCTTTGCACCCAGAAACAAATTCCCCAGGGCTGGAGATGGACTGAAGGTATAAGCTCAATGAGAGAGGGTATCCTTTGCATGAGGCCCTGCATCAATCTCTAGCTTCATACACACAGGCTCCTGCATGCATGTATACACATGTGTACACGTACACACGTACACACACACACACACACACACACACACACACACACACAAACACACACAAACACAGAGTAATAATAATAATAATAATAATAATAATAATAATAATAATAATAAAAAAACATGGGCCAAAGATATGAACAGAAAGTTCACCACAGGGGAAACCCAAGTATCTAATGTCTATCGGAACCTTTGCTCATCTCGGTTAGTTGTCACCTCTAAAGATTTATCTATTTATTTATTATGTATACAGCATGTATGACTGCAGGTCAGGAGAGGGCACCAGATCTCATTGCAGATGGTTGTGAGCCACCATGTGGTTGCTGGGATTTGAACTCAGAACCTCTGGAAAAGCAGTCAGTGCTCTTAACCTCTGAGCCATCTAATTGTCACCTCTAAATAATAGTGATATTTCTTTTTATATCAGTGGGAAAATTTTTAAAAGTTACTTTATGAGAGGTTGGAGAGACAGCTCAGAAGTTAAGAACCCTTGCGGCAGGGTTCAGTCCCCAGCACCCACATAGTGAGTGGAACTCCAGTTTTTTGGGATCCAACGCTCCTTTCTGGTGGTTTGAATGAATGGGCCTGCCTCATAGGCTCATATGTTTGAATACTCAGTCCCCAGTGGTGGCCCTGTTTGGGAAGGACTAGGAGGTGTGGCTGTGTTGGAGGAGGTGTGTCACTGGAGGCAGGCTTTGAGTTTTCCAAAGACTTGTGCCAATCCCAGTCTCAGTCAGTCAGGCTCTCCCTCCCTCCCCCTCCCTTTCTGCCTTGTGGATGGGGGTCAATATGTGAGCTCTCAGCTGCTCCCTTACTTCCCCATCATTGACTCTAACTCTCTGAAACTATAAGATTCCTTGGTCACAGTGTTTTATCACAGCGATAGAAAAGTAATTAAGACACATGGGCACTTCACACCCAGGGTGCACATACATACATGCACACAAAGCATCCATACACATAAAATAAAATAGATCTTCAAAAAAAGTTATCTATGAATTGTGTGAAGGAAGATGTTAATTTTGTTTTTCCTGTATGAAATCAAACTTCCAACACCTTTTACTGAAGGTCACCTTTCTCCACTGATTGGCTATAGCTCCCTGACGCGCACTGAATGTTGTTGCCCCTAAATTTCAACTCTTGTGTTGGAACTTAACTCCCACGTGAGGATAATTGGAGGTGGGGCCTTTGGGAGGTGGTTAGGTGTGAGGGTGGCCCTCACGAATGGGATGTGTGCTCTTATACAGGAGTCCTCAGAGAGCTGCCCTTCCCTGCTTCTCCCCTGGGATGACAGGCACAGACATCTGTCTATGGACCAGGGAGCTGGCCCTCACCAGACACCAGCTCTGTCGGCACCCGGGCTTCCCAGCATCCACAACTGCGAGGATCAATTTCTGCTGCCTCTTACCCATCCAGTCTCTAGCTGTCTTTTGACAGCAACTCAGATGGTCTAAAATGCCCCTTGGGCATCCAGATTCCCATCTACGTGGAGGTCTATAAAGTTAGACTTTGATTTTCTATTGCCCTGTCTTTAACCTTGCATCAGCAACACATCCAAGGACCACAGCTCCCTGACGCCGAACTTCAAGTAAAACAAAAGAAACCCAACAACTTACGGGTTGCACTTCCTCTTCTTCTCCTCTCCGTAGGCCAGGTTCTTACAGGTCTTGATGTGGATTTCTAAAGAACGGCTTTCATAGCAGTAGTGAATGGCAAATTCTATTTCTCCAGTGACGTTGGCGTTGTCAAAATTTCCCACCTCTGTGCAGGTGCTGTTAATGCTAATTAAGCTTCCCTGGAATCAACGGCAGACATGACAGGTTAACTCACAGTCAATACATTTATTTTACACAGTTCACACAGAGCATGCCTCCTGACTCATGTTAAGCTGATACGCACGCCCCAGCATGCACTTTGCTAACCCGAGTGGCCACCTGAGGACTCCTAAGGCGGTGAGGCATCCTCAGCAGACCTTCCCTCTTTATGCCTCTGCCTGGCAATAAAGTCTTCACCATGAGTCACCGGGGCGAAGTGGACTCGCTCATGTGCCATTCTGTAAACTTACGTCTTGGACCAGATGGTATCCGTGGCTGGATGGTGTGTGTAAAGCGGCAGACGGTGAGACTAAGTGGCGGAGGCCAGACTCAGAGACAACTGGCTCCAGGGCTAACTCTGCTACTCACTGGCTATGTCCAAGTCTAACAGAGATCAATAATTCCGACCTCAGAGTTACACCAAGTGACTTAGGTGGACTGTGCGAAGATAACGATACATTATATTTGCACCCAAAATAAAAATGAAATTGCCTTCAAATATTAGAGCAGTCCAAGCTTAAATGCTACCTGAAGGTTTGCATCACAGGATGCCTGTGCCTGAAAGATTAAGTCATCGTATCACTGTTAAATTTGCTTAAATAACCGCCACCATTTGTGAGTATCCATGTCAGTACTGACTTTGTAGGAACAGTGAAGTCTAAGTAATTTCTGTGTCTGATACCCAACGGGCTCCTCCATACCATAAAACCAAGAAAGTCTACAGCAGAAAGCGGTAATTGGCAGAGAGAGATAAAAACCAAACCGACTCAAAGGGCCTGGGACCCGCCTTAACGAACTCCAACAGCCAGCACCGCCACACCCGGGCTCCGGAAAATGTCGTCTGACAAACCACGTGACAGTGGGTTTGGGAAACAACTTTGAACCAGTATGCGTTCAAAGACAGCGGGGACGGTGAGGCGGCGAGGATGAGCGAGGGTTAAAAAGGAAGACTGGGGAGAAGATGTGGGGAGGGGTTGGCAGAGGAAGTGAGCTGCCTAGGAGAGGGAGGAAGCAGCGGAACAGAAGGAGAGGAAGAGCTGAAGAACTCTAGTCATTGCAATGCAATTTTTACCAGGATGGTAGCCCAGTGATAAAGCACTTGCCCACAATGCAGAAGTCCCTAGGTTCGATGGCCAGGACTCGGGAAAAAAAAAAAAACCTCAAAGGGCCCTTTGCCTGGAACTCAGCTCAGGAGAAGTACTTTGCCCTCCATATGAAATTCTTGGGAGGTGGCTGATAACCTTCCCACCAGCTCCTTGTCTGGGACTCAGTTCTGCTTTCTCTGGAGCCAGAACAGAACTTCAGAGCAAGCTGTAAATTTGAACAGTAACCTGGGTCAACCAAAAAGCCCTGGCCTAGAAGAGCAAGCTAGATCTGATACCTGTCAGAGCCAATGGGGCTGACCGCCTTCGAAAGAGAAGCTAACTCAGGTCAAAGCGAAGACCACCCACCCACCGGTGGTCAGGGACCCCCTGAAGGTCACGAGGTTACCTACAATCACCTCAAGCTGAATCCAGGGCCTGTCTATATCACAAAGACGGAAAAACTAGGAAAATTACAGCTATGATTTTTCTTTTTAAGTAATACATTCTGTTAGCCAAGAACACACGGGAAAGTACTACAGAGTGGGTTCGCCAGTGATAGGCGGACTTTCGTCCCCGGCTGAGCCCTGCTGACTGTGTGGTCTCCAGCGATTTCCCTCGGTTTCCTCATTTGTAAAACAGGCTGTGTTGCCTCAGTCAGTTATAAAAACATAAGGGCTTAGAACCCCGGCCTGCGGGCAGTGCCCAAAGTGTACATGTCTGTTGAAAACCCTGCACCTTCTGGACCCCTTCGCAAGCTGGGCAAGCCCCGTTCTTTGTTGTCTCCTTGGCTGTGAAATGTATACAGAATTTAAACAGCGCGTGTAATGCACAAGAGTAGTTCAAAAAAAACTGCAAGGTTAACGTCTATCCCCACCCCCATATTAAGAAAAAGAAAACTAGGTCTGGGGCGATAGCTCAGCAAGTTAAAGTGTCTGCCACGCAAGCACGAGGTCCTGGGTTTGTAACCCTACCACCCACCTAAAGCCTGACGCAGTTTGTCTTCTGTGACCTCAGGGATCCTACAGGCAGAGACAGGAGAACCCGTGGATGTAATCAGGCCAGCTAGCCAAGCGTAAGCAGTGGAAACAAGAGACCCTGTCTCAAACAAGGTGGCTTGATGATGCTGACACACATATGATGTGACATGTGCATGCGTCTGTTCACACACATGAGCACACACGTGCACACACACAATGAAAAACATCACCAGGATCTCAGAAATGCCCTGTCTGCCCCTCCTTTAGTCAGTCCCTGCCCTTCCTGTCTGAGTACAGGCTACTTCAAAACTACCTGCTAATCAGCTTTATTTTCCTTCATGGTTTCATTAGTACTATCAGCTCCCCTCTCAAATACTACGCCTTAACCGGGTGCTCACACGGTTAAAAGCATTCTATGTGCCTATGAACCACGGCGCGTTTTCTGTTTGGTTGCTGCCCAATTTCCGGCATTAAAACAATTACAAACAACGCTGCCCGGGACATCCATATATGCACATGGAGAGGGGGCATCCTGTCTGTTAAACTGTTCAAGAGTACCTGGGGGGCCGGGAGTGTAGCTCAGTGGTGAGGGACGTGTTCAGCATGCACGAGGCCTGTGGCAGAAGCAGACGCCGCAAGGCTTTTGACTACGTGCCTGTACCTCCAGTTGCCCTCCAGGGAAGCTGTAACAATTTCCCCTCACCATGTGGTTTTCAGATGCCTGCCTGCCTGCCGCTCTGGGGCCTTGCCTTGCATTTTTTAGACGTTATTAACATCATCCCAAAATAGTAGTTTGCTTAAATTTTGCTCTGATTCCACTACTTGGGAGGTTGGATAATTGTCTCTATTTATTCCCCGTCTCTAAGCGTAAGTGGAGATTTCATAAGCGTTCTCTAGCTCAACTCCTTGTTTCTCAGAGTTGTGGATTTCTCCAGGAAGGGTAGGCAACATCTCTGGACAAGAAATAACATGGTGATTACTTGCCTTATGGAAGTTTGAATCCGTTAGGCAAATACTGCTTTGGTTTAAAAGAAGATATTACAGTTAAGGACAATCTAATCTCATTATCATAAATTTGAAGGGTACACACCACAAAAAAAAAAAAAAAAAATTAGAAGGGATGAGAATGGCGTGCCCTATTGAGTGCAAGCCAAGAAAAACTATCACAAGAAAGAAGGCCCACATGTCCTCCTCCTTAGCTCAGTGTCACGGCCCCAACTCTTCTTAAAACATCTAAAAGGGTTTTTATGTATAAGATATGTATGTATATGTACAAGTATGAATACATGTTCTGGTGAAGGCACACATGCCACAGGTATATTTGGATGTCAGAGGACAACTTTGGGTGTCTGTCCATACCTCTCACCATATTTACACCAGGCTAACTGGCCTTGAGCTTTGGGGGTATTCTCTTGTCTCCACCTCCCATCTCAATGTCGGGGTGTTGGGATTATAGACATGTTGAAAGGGTATAGGGCTCTTGTGGCTGGCGCTGGTTTGGTCGGCAGTGGAAAGGTCACAGTCATGACAGAACCCAGTGGTACCTTTTAGAGCTTTATTAGGAGGAGGGGAGAGAGAGAGAGAGACAGAGACAGAGACAGAGACAGGCACAGAGACAGAGAGAGGCGCAGAGAGAGGCAGAGAGCGTGGGGGGTGCACATCCAGCTTTTAGGCTGGGATGCAGTCTCCCGCTGACGCAATAAGGCGCCGAACAAGGACCCCCCCCCCACGCCCCCAGCTGTGCATACACAGAATCCTTACACATATGCTACAGCTGGCTTTTATAGGGCTGCAGGGATTTGAACTAGAGACGTCGGGATTATAGATTTACCCACTGAGCCATTTCCCTCTGCCCAACCTTCATCCTTGAAGGTTTTCCAAGCAGGGATCAGCTACAGAGAGAAGAAACAAGTACGTAAAACCAGTTCATACAAGCGCTCAACAAGCCTGTGGGGCACATCTGATGGTCTATGGTCCCTGGGCTAGGTGACCCCACGTTCTGCAGGCCCTGTAGGACTCAAGTAAACCGCCTGACCCCGACACAATCAGGTTGCTCGATTGTGAAATGGACTAACAGCGGCCACCACGTGGTCACATGAGGATGTATGAGCTGAGAAGCCATCAGCACAGGCCTTCAGAGCATGACAGCTGTGACGGGCGATTGACCCAGTCCTCTGGTAAGTATTCATCAAGGGTCACTTGAGTGTCAGACTCTGCTCAGGGGACTTGGGGATTGTGTTCTAATAAACAGTTGATAAAAGGCAGACAAGAGAAGTGGATCTCAGGAAGAAGATGCTAAGCATAGGTTAAGCCTGGAGCAGATGAGTGAAATGGGAACAGACAGGGGCCTCTCTGAGAAGGAGCCTCCGTACAAAATTTCAAAGAAGTAGGGAGTGGTTTGGGAATGTCTGTGCCCTGGGGCTTGAGAGCCAGAGAAAGACCCTGTGGTTGGGTGGAGGGACCAATGGGCTAGGGGAGCAGACGAGGTCAAAGCAGGGTGGGAGCAGGGTGTACAGGACCCGCGGACTATCTCAAGTGTTCTTAGAGATGTGTTGGCTCTGGAACCGTAAGAACATGATTCTGGCCCATGGAGGAGCCAACTCCAGTGGGGTGCCAGGAACTGGGCAGACTCAGTTCCTCAGGCTCTCTGGGAAGCGAGTTCGGTTTTGTTCTGCTGGATCAGTGTCCTTTTGAGTCAACCTCAGGCTCTTGCTCCTCCTTTCCAGAGCCTCCCCGCCCCCAAGCCACTCTCCCTGCCTTGAACCCACCACAGGAATCCACACCAGAAAAGAAGGTTCTAGAGCCAGCCCTGCCCATCTTCACGGAGGTGATGTGCTTTGTTTTACCATTGTCTTATGGGCCGAGGACCGCGTTTCCCACCTGCCGCTCCCAGGCTTGAGCAGGCAGGGCCCGGAAACCTAAGCTCCCCACGTGCTGGCAGTACAGCCAACTTGCCAGTTCATCTCATTGCCTCACCTCCAGAGAAACAACACACGCCATGGCTTCTATACTTCCGATTTGGCGTGCCATTTCCCCCCAAGCTCCTGGAACACCACTGCTGCAACCTGCCTCCTCAGCTCCCTCAAGGAATGTTGCTGAGATCTTCCACTGTGCGTGACTCCCGGTTCCCCCTCCCCCACTTCGCCCCTTGTCAGCTTGAAGCAGTCTCGGGAATTCAGCGCCCTTGTTCCCCCACTTGCTTCCAGAACTCACCTTTTTATAATAATCAAAAGGGAGGAATGTTAATATTCTGACCCGCCCCTTGAAATCTGGCACTGCCCTGCGTCCTGACGTAAAAGCCTCATTTTAAGGAAAACCCCCTCCCCTTCATCTCTCTCTTCCGCACTCTTTCTTCCCTGTCATGGGGTGCGCTTCTCCTCTCTTCTCTTCCTCTCTCTCTTTTTCTGTCTCCTTATCTCCCTACTACAATAAACTCTTTCCACCCAGATGCAGTGCCTGGGTTGTGAGCAGCTTTCCATCCTGCTGTGTCACCCACCGCCATACCCGCATGGCATGTCTGGCCCGCTGCCCACCACTGCATCTGCCCAGCATGCCAGCATGTTTTCCCTTGCATGTGGAATATCCTGGCCCAGCTGGCTGGGGGTCCCCTGTACAATATATCACACCACTCTTGCCTTTCATCTTTCTAGACTGTTCTCCAACATCAGCAGCCCTGGGTGTTAAACCATCCTCAAACGCAAGCTCTGAAACCTATGATATGAGGAGATGAGCAAGTCACGAGAGTGGGGCCTTCATGAGTGGGGTTAGCATCCTCAGAAAGCAAGCCAAAGGGAGCTCCCTCACTGCTCCCACCAGGTGAGCACACAGCTTGACCATGCCCATCACCAAGTAGGAAATAGGCCCTGGACAGATTGAGTCTACCATCGTCTTGATCTTGGAATCCCATCTTGTAGAATCATAAGTGAACTTCTATTGTTTTCAAATGACCAAGTCAGTGGTGTTTTGTGATGCCAACCCAGAACCAATCAAAACTGCCGTTAATCGAGGCCTCAGGTCCCCGCATCAAAACTCTAGGCATGGATAGCGTTAGGTTTTGTTTAGTAGATGAGTGAACAGGTGACTACAGATGCAGTCTAGAAACAGAACAGATTTAAATACTAGGAAGCCATTTGAAAAAGAAGAATAAAATCAAAACACCTACACTTCAAAACTTAAAGGAAAGCTACAAACAAGACAAGGTGGTCCTGACATCAGCATAGGCCTAGTGACCAGGGGAACAGAGTCCAGAATAGGGATCACGCTCATAAGACTTGATGGGACAAAATGATCAAGTCACTAGAGGAAAGACAGTCTTTTTAAAAACAAGGAATGCTGTATTGACTAAATAACCACATAAAATTAGCCTCAACCTGAGCATCATACCAAACGGGTCGGCATGCAGATGAAAACAGAAAAGGAAGATCTAATTAAAGCTTCTAGAAAATAGGACACTATTGCCACAGCCCGTGAAGACACAAACCACAGGAATACCCACAGAAGAAAATCTTGATAAATGAGACCATCAAACTTTAAAACGCTTTCTCTGGACATGGTGGCGCACACCTTTAATGCCAGCACTCGGGAGGCAGAGCCAGGCAGATCTCTGTGAGTTCCAGGCCAGTGTGGTCTACAGAATGAGTTTCAAGCCAGTCAGGGCTACATACAGAGAGAGACCACATCTCAAACAAAACAAAACAAACTTTAAAACTTTTCCTTAAAGCTGGAGGTGGTAGCAACATGTCTTTAATCCCAACTCTTGGGAGGCAGAGACAGGCGGATCTCTATGTTGGAGGTCTACAGAGTGAGATCTAGGACAGACAGGACTACACAGAGAAACCCTGTCTTGAAAAAAAAAAATCAAAATCCAAAAAAGAAACAAAAAACAACCCAAACTTTTCCTTGACACACACCATTATTCTGTTACTGCCTTACTCTGCTTTCTGATGCTATGATAAAAACCATGACCTAAAGCAACTTTGGGAGGAAAGGGTCTATTCAGCTTACAGGTCACAGTCCATCATGAAAGAAGGCCATGGCAGGAGCTCAAGGCAGGAACAGGAGATGGGAACTGAAGCAGAGACCATGGGGGGATACTGGCTTGTGGCTTGCTTCGCCTGCTTTCTTAGGTAACCCAGGACCACCACCTAAGGGTGACACCACCCACAAAGGGCTGGGCCCTCCTCCAGTCAGTTATCAAGAAAATGCCCAACAGACTTGCCCATGAGCCAATCTGATGGAGGCAGTTCCTCAACTGGGGCTCCCTCTTTCCAGATGACTCCGGTTTGTGTCAAGTTGACAAAAACCCAGCACAATCAATTACCAGTTACTTTCTGAAGGTAGAAAATGTTCTCCACAAGGCGACAGTTTTAAAAAGGTGAACAGGAAAGCCAGCTTCAACATATTTTGAGGCTTTCCCTAGCTCCAGATCTACGTGAAAATCACCTCCATACTATACTCTCACATTCCCGTGTTGACCACAAGACAAGAGTCTGGTCCTCCCCTTGTGTCTTAGCTACTTTCCTATCGCTATCACCATGGCCAAGGCAACTTAAGGAAGAAAGTCTATCGGGGGCTTATGATTTCAGAGGGTGAGTCCTTGACCATCATTCGTGGGGAGCATGGCAGACAGGCAGGCACAGTGCTGGAGCGGCCGCTGAGAGTTTACATCTGATCCACAAGCATGAAGCAGAGGAAGAGCTAACTGGGAATGGGATGAGCTTCTGACATGCCACTAGGGATCCACCTCCTCCCAGTCCTTCCCAAACAGTTCCACCAACTGAGGACCAAGCATTCTGAGCCTATGGGGGCCCTTCTCATCCAATACACCAGGCCTTACCTGCCAGGCCAGCTGGATAATGTCTGGTTGGCTTTCTTCCCTGGTGCTGGGGGATTCAACAGAGTTGTACTGTGTACATACCATGCCTATGCGCTACTACTGAGCTATAGTTCTAGTCCTTGATGTCTTGAAAACTACACATCTTAAAGAACACTTGGACAAGACTCACATGTCTCTGGCCTCCAGAGAAGACAGTGCTGCGTGCTGGACTGGATGGGAGAGTGTCTTGCTTCAAAACAGGGCTGGGAGGGTCTTTGGGATCTTCTTGATGGAACGCTTTCAGAATATCAGGCGAGGAGACCTTCTGGAGAGGGTAAAAACAAACATCATAGCCCACATCCCCGTGTGACTGAAGAGGCCAGCAAGCCCAGCCTGCATCTGCGAAGTGATGTTTCTCACACACAAACCTCTGCCGGCTGAGTAGGAAGACACACTTGTGTTTGGATCAGTGCACACCCCCCACACACCAGCAGGACCCTAAGGCAGAGTCATTAGGAACAGTCACAAGCATTGACAGGTGGGCTGCTTTGTGTTACAGGAAGTGCTGAAACATTTAAGTTCTGGCTTTAATAATAATGATCATGACATGCAGTCATGTGAAATACAGTTTCATATTGACAAACAATTTTACTTCTAGTATGCCCATATAAAGGGAAAAATGCATCTTTAAATTGTATTTATTCTCTTTCTCTTTGGCTAATAATTAGTATTTCTTCTATAATGTCACAGCTGTACTTCTCGATAGCCACTAACAACATGGGGATGGATTTAATCCAAATTAGTTGAAGTAAAATACAATTGATAAACCAGGTTCCCAGCTGTGCCATGCTGAGAGTGTGGCCACAAGAGGACATCCATGCAGCGGGAGTCTCCACAGGCGGGGCCATCTATCCGAAGCCTCTCCCACACTTCCTTGCTTGGATCCCTCCGCCCTCACAGCTCAGACAACCTCTGGACTGTGATTGCCTGGGAGGCTCTGTCCCATGGACTCATGCTGCAGGGGAGGGACAGGCCAAGGATGCCACGTGACACCAACATTCAGAATGCCAGGAGTGAGGCCAGAGGGAACTTGAGATACCCTGCGTGGGGCACATTTCGCCACAAGTGAAAAGACAGCACCTCTCATGGCAGGAGCTGGGGGAGGGGCTGGACCACTCCAAGAAGGCTTGGCCTCCTCCTCCTGAACACACTGGTCTCTGCCAGCTCTCTACCCCAGTGTCCTCATCTTTCATGGGGACGAATCCAACAGAGCTGCTTTCAAGATAAATACCAACATGGCCCCTCTGCAGAGAATGGTGCCGGACATGCAGACAGCCCTTGGCAGGTGCCACCATCTGTAGCAGGAATCTTAAATGGTCTTATTAATAAAATCAAACCCGGGGCCAGTTGTTGGGGTGAAATGCTGAATGGTCAGAGAGACAGAACAAGCCACAGCTAACCTCACCTGGCCAACTTCTCAGCTCATCTTGTTTCCTCAGACTGGAAGCCTCTGTGTCCTCATATCCGAATGGCTCTCAGCTGAACTGTGCTGCTAGAAGCCTGAAAGCTTAACCAGCCAAATGCTTAACCAGCCAAATGCTTCTAGTTTCTGGTCCTCACGCCTTATATACCTTTCTGCTTTCTACCACCACTCCCCGGGATTAAAGGTGTGTGTCACCATGCCTGGCTGTTTCCAATGTGGCCTTGAACTCACAGAGATCCCAGATGGATTTCTGCCTCTGGAATGCCAGGATTAAAGGCATGAGTGCCACCATTTTCTAGCTTCTGTATCTAGTGGCTGTCTGTTCTCTGACCCCAGATAAATTTATTAGGGTACACAATATTTTGGGAAACACAATACCACCACAACCATCAGACTAGCTTCACCTGACCTGGTAAGTGCTGAGCTGCTGGGGTTCCCTTCCTTGAGCCCTCCTCCTTCCGGCCTTCCCTTGTCCTCACAGGGGAGACCGAAGCAGCCCGGAAATTAGCAACATCTAAACCTAGGTTCTGCTCCTGGCACCGTCGTTCCCGAGCTGTGAGCTGCTGGACATGTTGGTTGACTTCTGAGTAGAGCTCAGGTTTTTGATCACGGTCATGGGAGTGAGTCTATTCTGTGATACAGCAGGCAACCAGGGCACCACCTGCCCAGACAAAGTCCTTCGGAAGTGGACCTTATGCCAGCCCCCATCTGCCCTGCTTGAAGAAAAGAGGTTGGCTCCAGGGAGCCACTGTGAGCAGATACATTTGCACTTGGGAATTCCAAAGCCCTCCTGAATATATCTCAAATGTTTGAGACACAAGTCATTGGAAAACTGTCAACATCAGCAACTGCTTATCACCAGAGGCTCAATAGAAAGGCATCAGAGACCCCGAATATCATGCCCAGTGAGGACTTGGTGATGTGGGAGTCTGCATCTCATACCCAGTGAGGATGCAGTGATGCAGGAGTCTGCATCTTATACCCAGTGAGGATGCAGTGATACGGGAGTTTGCATCTTATACCCAGTGAGGATGCAGTGATGTGGGAGTCTGCATCTCATACCCAGTGAGGATGCAGTGATGCAGGAGTCTGCATCTTATACCCAGTGAGGATGCAGTGATGTAGGAATCTGCATCTTATACCCAGTGTGGACTCAGTAATGTAGGAGTCTACACCTCATACCCAGTCCTCACTCAGTGATGCGGAAGTCTCACCTCATCAAGAGCCCAGTGGCTCTCCTCCAGCCACAACTCATAACTCCAGAGTTCAGCCTCCAGACCAAGATGGGACCAGTTCAAACATAGGATTCCCACCTCCAGGTATGTAACTGTGGGCATGGGTCCTCTCTAAGGTCCTTACCTCTCTAAGCCATCATATATCTCTCAGTGTAAACAGGGCTACTTTTAATGCCCATCTTGTTGGGTTGATAGTCTGTGTAAAGCTCTCTGTACAGAGTCTAACACATCATAACAAATGCTGAAGCTTAGAGATCTGTCTAGGTGACCCAGACGGCAAGTTAGAGGCTTCCTTGTCTCTCTGGCTGCACACAGGAGCTCCATGCTGGGCAAACAGAGATTCCTACTGTTTTTATTTTACCAAGGGGCATCCTGGACGCAGGTGGAGATTAGCAGATGGAGGCCGATCTTGAAATTTCTAGAGCAATGGTTCTCAGCCTTCCGAATGCTGTGACCCTTTAACACAATTCCTCCGGTTGTGGTGACCCCCACCACCATAAAATTATTTTCACTGTTACTTCATAACTGTAGTTTTGCTACTGTTGTGAATCACAACATAAACATTTTTTTTTTTTTGAGACAGAGGTGTGCCTGAATACAGATTATATATAATTAGGTTTTCCTGGCTGATTAAGGTTTTCTAAGTTCAAGAGGAAAACAGGCTAGAAAACTCAGAAAGGATGACATGCAGGTGGCGGGTGGCGGGGCCCAGCAGGCCTCAGTGCCTACCCTGGAGGTGACGTTGACGGCTGTGTCCGACTGGCTCCGCCTCTCCGTGTGGACCACACACTGCCTGGGATCCATAGCCAGAAGATGCTTCTCAGAAGTCATGTCATTCTGGGACTTGGAGAGCTCTGGAAGACAAATACAAGGGGTGACCCTTGGGAGCACGGAACATTGCCAAGACTTACAGATCCTAGGGGTCAGAAAGACAAAAAAGGTGACCAGGCAGGGGTGGTGACAGGTCCACGGTAGAACAAAGTGTGGCTGTACGCCAGAGGCAGGGAAGAGGAAAGGCTAGACCCTCCAGAGGGCCACACTGGCCCCGTGTCCCTGTGGGCAGCCACTGTCAGGGTGGGACTCAGAGGGAACTTCCCACCCAGCTTCCCTGCCCCCCAGGCCATCCATACGATCAACCACCTGCCCTGAGCTATTGACCAGCATCCTCCTGTGACTGCTGGAAGGGAGTAAGGGTTGAGACGGCTCCGTGGCTGCTTTAGTAACTATGCCCTGGAAAGACCACTTATTTGGATTTCTCGGCACAATAGGGTCCAAGCTTCCAGCTTCTGGGGGCTGTGCTGGATGAGGAACTGGCTTGGGACACGCATTAAAATAACAGTGAACAAAGTGGGAGGGAGGGAACCCCAGGCAAGCGAAAGCTCTGGATTTCATCCAGACTCTTCCTCAAATCCAGCCCCCTCCCTAAGGCTCCCGCCTCAGCTATCTTCACGGCTGCGCCGCACTCTCTACTTAGAAATGTGAATTACCTATGTTATTCTAAAATACTTCCTTAACCACATCAACAGGTGACATTAACTTTAACTCTGCATTTCATTTAACACGACGTTCAGATTGTTAAGATAGATTATGAATCTTAAAGCTACTTGTGAGATCATCCCCTGACTACAATAATTCTCTGGACTCTAGGGTGTAGCTCACTCCAGCTGTGCTCTCGTAGAAGTCCCTTGGGAACTCATGTGCTCCACATCATCCCTCTGACCGCTGGTCCGTGTACGGAGACATCCCATGCTTCTATTGCCTGCCGGCTGCCTAGTATCTGCACTGTGCAGGGAGAGCCTGGGAGGTCTCCTTTCCTCGACATCGAGGTCCCTGACCTGCTTCCCAAGCCCAGGGCACCCAGTTTTTCAGTCTCGCTTCCTAGCTGCTCTTTTCCGAGGGCCATACCACCCCAGCATTCTCAAGTCTACCATCCAGAAGTATCTCGGGGCGGGGGCGGGGGGCATCAGTTGATGTCAGCTACTGCAGGAGACTAGCACATTGTGGAGATCCTCAACGACAGCCACCCCGCAGCAGCCTGCACGTGAAGGCTCCCCTGTCTGGCCATTGGTGGAAGCTGTCTGCCATCTGTCTGTTCACACTACCTTGGGACTGCGCTTGTGTGGTCCATTTCCAGGTTATGGCTTCAAGGAGAAGAGAACCTGACAAGTTTGGGGTTCTGACAAGTAGCTTTCTACATCGGTGGGGGTTGGGGGGCTGAAGCAGCAGAAACACAGATTGCTCCCAAATCAACCCCATCTTTGTCTGCTAAGGGGCCCCAGCATGTGACATCTATGGGTCTTATATAGGCCTGGAATCGCTTTCTTCCAGGTGCTTGAAACATTGACAGACAGAGGGTACCACTCTGGGTCATCATTCTCAAATCCTGTGGTTCCAAACCAACTTTAGCATCCTGGGTCCTTGGTCAGTAGAATTGCTCTGGGCCCTTCCCAACCCCCTCACTGAGGACCCCAGGCACTAATTCAGCTTCCTTTCCTCCAAGGTTGCCTCTGAGGAAAATAAAGGAAGGAGGACAAAGAATCAAAATGAAGAAATGGGAATCAGCACCAACAAACACTACACGTCCGTTCCCAGGCCCCCGACAGGTGGCTCTGGCTGTCTCTGCCTGTGGCTGACGGCAGGCCGAGGACAGAGGCTGTAGGTTGTAGTTGACTCGCCTATCTGAGGTACCGCTGCTACCTGCACCCCATCTGAAGATTAGCTCTTGCTGTCTACACGGACAACTCAGGGCAGGGGTGGAGACAAGGCTACCCCAGGCGCGCCTCTGCATTCAGGGATACCTGCATGGTGGGCAAGTGTGCTCTGACACAAATATCCTTCCTCTTTGGATTTGCGTGGCTGAGGAATCTCAGTGTTGGGATTAATTCTGAGGCACCGATTCCACAGAAGCCTTGGGCTGGGGGAGTGGACTAGAATTTCCAGAAAGAAGTTCACCTGTGTTAAAGGTTCTGCAAAGCTGATTGGTTAGAATGTCCGTAGAGAGTTGGAATGTTGCAGGTTCAGAGCCAGATTATCTTGGGCTATCTTTAGTTCCCCTAATAGCCATGCATTGCCTACCCATGTGTGTGACCTAACATCCGTCCTCATGTGACTATTAGGTAAATCCTTTTGGAATATATAAATAAACTCCTAGCTTCCCTCAACCCAAAGACTAAGAACGCCATCAGGTAACACCTGAGGCCTGACAGAAACTTCCCCAGTTTGCCGTAATCCAGCTCTTTGACGTTTCCACTGATGAATTTGAAAAGTGTTCTTGATTTATGACTTTCCTGGTATTATTGCCACAAAATTTCCATGACACTTTTGCTGCATTTGACTGTGGGATTTGGGGTAACCTGAGCCGTTCATCTTGATCTCCAGAACAAACTCTCTCTTACTTCCTTTGAAATGAGAGCTGTATTTCTGCAGTGATAGAGAATTCACAGAAGCCACGCGGACTTGGGGAGGGGTCTGATTTCGAAGGATGCCGTGGGACCATGGGACCAGCAGTGGCTGTGCAGAGAACAGACCACTGTCACAGCCAGGCTGGTGTCCGTGGAGGCACCAAGAGGCCTGTGAAAGTCAGCCATTTCCTCCTCCTGAGAGAGACCCAGGGCAGCCCACCGCTGATGGGAAGAGCAGGGCTCTCATGGCAGCTGTCTGTGTGACAGGGGCTGGTGTGGAATACAGACGACTAATTTAAATTCAATTGTACAGTTGGCTCAGAGCCAATAACAATGAGACCATCACAGGCAGAAAGGAGGCAGTAAATGGAAGACAAAAGAAAGGAGAAAGAAATGTGTGCCCCAAGTCCATTTGGATGCGCTCCGTCACTGCCCGGGTCTAGATATCTTAGGAGGTGCGAGAAGCAGAAACAGGTAAAGCGTGTCTGAATGGAGGGGATGCTGAAAGAGATGGGGTGCCAAGCCAGGGCAGGGCTAACCGCACCCGTGACTGGGACATTCCTGCCACCTGCGGAAAAGTTTACCAGGGAGAAGAACGGATGGGGGGTAGATCCTGGGCTCCGCCAGCCAGAAAGGGTTTGGGATTCATTGCAAGGTATTTTCGTGTTTTGTTTTCCTTCCTCTGGAATCCTTTGTGCCGCTGAGCTGGGCAGGTTTGGGCAGGACAAGCAGGAGTCAGGGTGAGGCTGATAGACTGAAATGGCGCCTGCCCTCCACGAGGAGCCAGAGGCTGCTCCATTGAGCCGTGGTCTTTCCCATCTGGGGCTGCCTGGGCTGGCCTGCGTGGGGCAGGGTGGAAGGACAACTTCTGAAATGTCACTTACTTTTCATCTGGGTGGTGACCGACAGAAACAAGTTCTCCACGGACTTGTTAAATCCTCTGAAATGACCAAGTTCCTGTAACTAAAACAGACACAGGACAATGAGCTGTGAGGCTGTGAGACCCACCTCTGCCTCCCGGCTGCCAGCCCCCAAACACTGCGGGCGGGAAGGGGTGGGTACAGGTGTGCATGTCTGGAGGGATAGGGCACAGCCCCCAGGAAGGAGGCATCCCTGGCACTCAGCCATCTTCCTCCGTGTTTTGCAGCCTCATTAAAGGATGGAGCATTATCGACAGGTAGTTCACAAAATAACAACCACCTCTTAGACATAATGACTGACATTTCATTGGCTCAAAGATGGTACTTGGGTAATTATTGCTTGTTTGACCTCCTTCCTCCCCTAGCTCTACACAAATCCGATGTAGAAGGAACAGAATGCAGGTGACTAGCCTGGAAACACAGAGCTCTCGCTTCCAAAAGGGAACATAGAAAGGGGAAAAACAGCAACTTTGTTCAGGTCTCATCCATCCATCTACCCACTCATTGGCTACTCCCCATGCAGCCACTATTTATTTATCTATCTATCTGTATCTGCCTACCTGCTCATCTATCTACTCGTCTATCTACCTATCCATTCATCCATCGATACATCCATTCGTCCAATGTCTATCCATCTAGCCATCCACCCATCCATCCAGAGACCACCTATCCATCCACCCACTGACTAGCCATTCTCTGTATCCATCTACTCACCCATCCGACAATGCAAGCATCCAGGGACCACCCATCCATCCACCCACTCACTGACTAGCCATGTGTCCACCTACTCACTATCCATTCACTTGCCCACTTCATCAACCCATACAACTATCTGCCCGCCCAACTATCCATCTAGCCTCCGATCTATCTATCCACCCTTCCAGTGCCCATCCATTCACCGAAAATATGTCCTCAGAACACAATCGCGGGAGAAAATAGAGTATAATTGTGATGTTCTGTGAACTCGGGAAACAATGAACATGTTTTCATCTCTCAAACAGACATGTATATATTTTTATATTTTTTAATATTTTCCCCATGTAAGACATAATTGTTCCCCTTAATGCACAGAATGATGAAGACAATCAAAGCCATACAGTTCCCGTGGCATGGCAGTTTCCAAGCACACATAGGCATTATCCTGCATGGGAGACAAGTCAAAGAATTATTTCCACTTCTTAGGTGGAAAACCAAGGTAACTCTGAGGTCACACAGCTAAATTCTTCGGACAGAAATGGTTCTGGTCCCCCTGGAGCCTGCAAACATCATCGATTCATTCCCACGGGCACATCAGTCACCCCCCCCCACACACACACACACACAACCTGCTCTCGACACATGTCAGACCCCCCCACACACCTAAAGGCACAGTACAGAGTCTGGGATGGAAGCTGGGGACAAGAGTCAGGACAAGATGTCTCGGGGTACAAGCAGAAGGAGCCGGCTGAGGCTGCAGATGGTCCCTGGCAACAGACTAAAAGGGAATCCACTTGTCCAGCTCCAGCTCCAGGTGAGTCAGATCTGTCGGCCTAACTCACTCTCCAGCATCCTCAGCTGGCCTGCCTTCCCCGCTTCCCACCCAGGGACCCACAGAGAGACAAGTTACCCTGCCGGGGCTGCCGGGGCTCTGACTCTCACTGAGAGGTGGTGGCGTAGGAGGGACCACAGAGATTTTGCTGCCAAGAGGAGACACAATGATGGGTTAGAACTATGCAAGCTACTAGTTTACATATCTACAAATGTGAGTGTATCATGCAAGCTCTTAGCTTTGTTTGAGTCTAACTTCCTTTCAAAGAAAATGAGCCAGCAGCTCGGCTTAGCCCTGCTTCTCTGACTGGGAGCTGCATGCTGGTGTCTCGGTAGGAACATGACATCTCCATCACATTCTGAAGCCACTAGGGGACCCTGGCTCTCCCCACTCAGCTTCTCTTGGATCCAGGCTTCTTGTGTGGAGTCTCATCTGGACTCTTGTATGCTTAGTACAAACCACACCAGCAGAAGAGCCAACATGTGAAAGAAAAGCAAAAAACAAAAAAATTAAACACCTTTGGAGAAAATCTGGAAGCATGAGCCAAAAGAAGAACAAATGGGGGATGGGAAAATAAAGTAAAAGGTGGATGTGGTCACATGCCTGTAACGTCAGGGCCGGGTAGGCCGAGGCAAGAAGATTGCCCGACGTTCACAGCCAGCCAGGATTACATAGCAATAACCAGACCACAGGGCTACATGACAAGCCACTGTGTAGGAAAGGAGAGGAGGAGGAAGGGAGGGGCATGATGATGGAGGGGAGGAGGGGATGGAGGGAGAGGACAGGAAAGAGAGGAAGGAGGAAGGGGAGGCTCTAAGTTTTGAGACCGGATAAATTTCATCATGAGCCAAAAAAAAAAAAAAGGCCCCGTGGGAACTGTCTGTGGTGCTCACTGAACTCAGCAGAACCGGAGTGTGCGTCCTGCTGCTCCAAGGCTGTGCAAAGATGTCAACATCTGTTTACAGACAACAGGTATTTTTCCCCCCACAAATATATTAGGTTGATGCCTGGCGCCAGGGAAGATACCACAGAAGGGAAATAAAGTCAACTGCTTGGCCTGGGATGTCTCAGACGCTCAATCAAAAGTGGTATTTTTTTTTTTTTTTACAGCATCTCAGGAGAGAAGCTGGGGAGCAAAACATTGAGTATAAAAATAGGGATAGCTAGAAAGCTCCTCGTGAACATTTACAAGCTCTTCTCAAGTTTCCAAGAACTTTATAATTCTTTTAGAAAGTCATGGCCCAAGCAGTGACCTCTAGAGGTCAGGGACTCATGAGTTCTTTCGGGATGTCCTCCGAGGTCCTGCCGACGTGGGACACTCTGTCCTTCCGTACTCACCTCAGCCTCTGATAAGATTGCAGGAGTTTCGCCCCCGCAGTCTCGTGCTTGCCTGGAGGAGAAACGAGCCAAGGGCAGTCAGTACTGAGCACGTACTGTGGGTGGCACAAACACAGGACCAACGCGGTGAGATGGCTTTAATATTACTTCTTATGTTAGAAAGGGATCCTTTGGGGGTGGTGACAGAAATGCTCAGGAGTCAGAAGGTGGGCGAGATGGCGCGGCAGGTAAAGGCACTTACCACCAAACCTCCCAACTCGAGCTGCATCCCCCAAATCTACACGGTGTAAGGAGAGAGACTCCTCCTCCAAATTGTTCTCTGGTCACTACTTATGCGCTTGGCACATTCATGCACATGTATGCACACATGCACACGCACTCACACAAACCACTGATAAACATAGTGCTGCAGAAATGGCTCAGCAGTTAAGAGCACGGATTCATTTTTCAGAGGACCTGGTTTTGATTCCCAGCACCCAACATGGCAGCTCACAACCATCTGTAACTCCAATTCCAGAGGACTCAAGGCCCTCTTCTGGCCTTGGTGGGCACACATGTGGAGGGCAGATGTACATACAGATAAAACACACATGCACATAAAATAAATAATAAACATAAAAATATAATTATAGATGGTGGGGATTATTGTGCAGCCTTCCAGTCCTGAAAAATCACTGGCTTGTTAACAGCAACCCCACCACCACACACACACACATCCCATAATCCATCATGTCTGGGACTGCTTCTATTAGAAGCTGATGTTGAATTAGATTTTCTAAATCTGGGTAATTCGAAACAATCCTTTAAGTTCCCTAGTTCCTTCCACCAGGAAACACTGCATACAAAATGCCCCTTGTGATGAAGACTTAAGCTAATCTCTTTAAAAATGTAATCTACTTATTTCTAGTTAGAGTGACTAATAATTTCCTAAATCAGACGGCACATTCCCCCCCCCCCATAGTAGCCCCTTTTGGTCTCATGATGAACTACCCCCTCCCCCAGATAAAATTCTGCCTGTCCATATTCCTGTGACCAGCATGTAGTGGGTGGGGCTGCAGTGTGGTTGCAGGTTTGCAGCTCAAGGAGCTTTCTAGAACCTCCACACAGCCCAGCTCACCAGGGCTCTGGGGGCCAGGAACACTCTTGTGCTGTTTGAAAGATTGTAATCCATTGCACAGACTTGAGTGTCAATATTTCCCCAGGACACACTGACAGAGTGGGATACTGAGGACACCAGGATGGGCAGGGGCGCCTCTAGGAGAGACAGACAACATTCAGAGTTAAACCCTGATGTCAGGTCCCAACCCTCAGAGCAGGATGTATCCCCAAACACATCTCCGGGTGTTTAGCTGGCCTGGCTTCAGAAGGCGCAGGAATCCTTAAAATCATAGCTAAAGGATTTTTTGTCTTGTTTTGTTTTGAAACAGGGTCTCGTGTAGGCCAGGCTAGCCTTGAACTCTCTACATAGTCTGAGGAGGTCTTGAAGGTCAAATCTTGGTGCTTGCATCTCCCAGGGCTGGACTTACAGGTGTCCCCTGATTTTATGTGGTGTGAGGGCTCAAACCCAAGGCTTCCTGTTCTCCAGGCAGGTATTCTACCGGCTGAGTCACATCAGCCCATGTGTTTTGAGTCTCAATGTTTGTGTACATTTTGGGGGCTTCATAAAAGTATTTTAAAAGTGACCTGGGAGCATCCCCCTAGGCTGGTCAGAAGGCCTCTCCCAAAGGCTGGCAGCTAAACTAGTAAAACCAGAAGGCAACACGCAGAAC